ATTATGTTTACTTCGGAGAGCTGGCCTGAACTGTTCCAAGTCTTTAGTTAAGAAATTTGAATCTAAAGTACAAGTAATTTAGCTATTGTTTAATTACCTAATGGCCTTCCTTCTTGCCTATTTGTTGGAAATAGAACTAACTGAAATAGAATGCAAAATTACTTTTTAGTTTAATAGTTCTTCTCATAGCTGCTTCACAACAAAAATTGTCACACATGTAAATGAACTTACTTAAGCCATTTGATTCTATTAAAAACAATTAAAATTAAAAAATTAAAAAACAACTTTTAATCTTACCATTCTCCTTTCGACTATCTCCACTCTCCACTTTGTCTTTGTCCCCTTTCTCCTCTGTCCTCTCTGTCTCCTTTCTTCTCTTTCACCCTTACTTCATTTTTTTCTGCTATAAATACAGTTAATTTTTGCTTTTAATGTACAACACAAACATTCATGTACAAACAACTTACCAAGTTCATCTACCAAAAACAAAAGGCATTATAGTTATCACTATAGGGTTACACATTCCCAACTTACCATCAGATGGATGGACCTCAATGAGGACATCCTCTATTCGGGCAGCCATTACTTTTCGATTTTGAACTTACAGTTTCAGGTGTCTTATTTTATATCCTAAAGGTCACCGTGACACTTGGTGTTCTTTGATTGGCTGTGAATGACGCAATAACTTCTATTTCAGTATTCTCCTCCCACACAATTTTATTATCAGTCCTCTCACCTGTACAGATAAACACAAATCACCTGCATGATAACTTCGTGACTAACTTTCTCTCGGGCCTTCTCTTTTGAGTTAGTAAGTTTTAAACAAAAATCAGTGTTTGTGTTTATGTTGACGTCTCACGCACATACTAGTTCCACACCTTTGTTTTTAAAAAAGGGATCCATAGTTTTTATGTCTTAGCGTTACAAACGAGTTCCTCTCCTTTAGGGGATCAATAGTTTGAATATTTGGCATTCAAACTAGTTCCACTCCTGTTTCAGATGATCAATAGTTTGAATGTTTGGCATTCAAACTAGTTCCACTCCAGTTTCAGGGGATCAATAGTCTGTTTGTTGTAGGCAAACTAGTTCCTCTTCTGTTGAAAGGGGATCAATAGTATGTGCATTACACAAACTCATTTCCGTTATTCATTTACTGAATACATGGACAAGTTCTATTATGACCAAATTGACCACAATTACCACATTTTCTTTGTGTTGCAGGTGGTTCTAGAGATTGCCTGGGAGAATGTGGCACTTCGATCTCCATTGCAAGGTCTGGTGGATTATCTACACCTGGAGTTGATTGTCGAGATGATCCTGTTGGTCGAGGTGCATCAGGAAGTGGGTAGGTTACATCTTTATATTTCGCATCTGTAAAACGATCTTATCTTTTCGTAAAGGTACCATTTCCTTTCAGTTGACATACCCTTTGGTGGTAATATATTAGGTAGTTCATCTTCCATTTTTTGAGCGTCCTCCTTCGGCAAATTGAATTGTGTGACTGGGCCATCTACAGCTTGTCTGGCTGCAACTACACCACGTGAGGTCGCATTTACAACAATGTGTTGAAAGCCTTTGGTGCCTTTTATTTTCTTGAATAATGTAGCAAAGTAACTAGACCAGTCAAGTGTTTCTACAATGAGTTCACCATTGCTACTTCCTACTGGTTGGGCTTTGTTCACAGCAGATGATTGTTCTACAACTTGAATGAAGTCATCCAATGAGTCCGCCTCTGCCTTACGGAACTTTTGCTTTAATAGTCCGAAGCACCAGTCTGGAGAAAATTTTGTGTGTCCAACTGGCAGAAAGGATATTGAAATGGACACATTGAGTCCTGTCATGACTCTCCATAAGAGGTACTAAAATAAAGAATTACATTTAAAATGTTCATTAATGTGCATGTATTATACTTACTTGAATAACTGTATTATTTTTATTTTGCCCTGTGCAGTTGTCAGCATTGAAATGGATATTGACTGAGTTGAGGCTATGATTCTTTAAATAAAAATATACCATGCTTATGACAAGATTTGCCCCTTTACCAGTGTCGAATGATTCATTGATCAAGAAATTAACCTGCTGAGGGATAGCTTCACAGCATACACCAAATATGCCACATTTCCTGGGAGTAAGAAAATAAATTGGACCTGCTTGTAGTGGACTTGAAGGATAGTGAACCTTTAAAAAAGTAAGTAACCTAGATACACTTTAATAATTATCATGAAATGTTACCTGTTGAGCATAATCGAAGCTAAAATGTCCTACAATATTTAACATAGCAAGTGGCCTTGTTAGTGGGGGATTGTAATTGTTCGCTGCATCAGTATACAGCCCTTTTAACAATAATTGTGCCTCTTTTAATACATCCTTATAGTTCTCCCTTTCCTTTTTAACAAGACTTCTGTGATCTAGTGCCTTTTGCATTGCCTGAAAATTCTAAATAATACTTGTGTTATTACAATACTGACTTACCTCAGTTATCCTTTCATCTGATTGCATGTTAGCACTTCTTATAATCAGTCCACTTATCTCTTTACAAGTGGCACACAAGTCAGACATAGGCTTCATTTTTTCAATATAAGGCACGTAGCGTCGCCACAACATGTTGAATGTTGTTTCAGCACATGCTTTGACATAAAGCCGTTCACATGATTCTGCATACTCTAAGTATACCTGCCTTTTAGATGTACTGCATGGCAGGAACTTCTTATTCTCGTAACTTTTCATTCCAGGTATTCTTCTAGGAAGACTGATTCCATGGACTTCAGCGTAATTTCTGATAAAAGCAACAACCCGGAGAATATCATCATAAGTCAAAGCATGGTTTGGTGTCTTTCCAGCATTTCCGTGAACTCTAATAAAGTTAAGTACATAACATTGAATTTGTAAGTCCATTCATACCTTGGTATTAATCCATTCATTCTGTAGTTTTTTATGATTTCCTCAAACCTGCTTTTGCCACATGCATGTAGCTTCAGAAATGTTACTCTACATATCTAGTTGAAAAACAATTAATTTTGTGTTGTGTTACTCATAGTTACAAACCTTATGACCTTGATGCATGAACGTAAAAAATTGCCTCTTTCTCTCTTTCTGTCTCCTGTGGTTGCCAGTCGACAATCCCCCCATGGTAGATGTTGCTGCCATTTGACTCATAATAGCAATTTCTTGAACAGGCTTTGCCATGGCTTGTATGTCACATCTATATGTTTTTATGTAAGAGTGACTGAACAGTGCATAGGAATAATTTGAGCAACCACATCCATGTTCAAAGAACTTTGATAATTCTTCTTCCTCCTGTAGGTCTTCCTTTCTCATGTCATCACCAGAGTGAGTAGTTGAAGTAGCTGGAGCATCAGGCATCGCTGATTCTAAATCAAGATCTGATACTTGTAGCTCCACAGCCACCTCAGGATCAAACAGTGGTGGATTAATATCTTCATCACAATCTTTTGTCTCTTTCTCTTCTTCTTTCCCTTCCTCTACCTCTTCTTCTTCCATATCTTCTACTGCTTCATAGTCTGTCTCTATCAATTAACAAATACACTGTATAACTAAGTTTAATATAATAATATTGTGCATTTATACAGGTGATGGAATGTCATTGTTGTGATAGCTAACCGCTATTCACAGTTAGTATGTAAACAGTGTTATGAATAAGCTTACCACTAGTTTCAGCACAAAAGTAGTCCCCAAGAACTGAAGCAACGTAGTCACTGTCTCGAGGACCTATTTCTTCATTTAACAAGCGAGCAATGTCTCTTTCTGTAGCCATAGTTTTAAAAGTAGTCTTCTTCGTCTTTGTTATGCTTTAAATAGTTGCTATAGAGACTCCATGGTTAACTAATGACACATTAAAGCCCTCCGTTTTTATTCCGCAGTCGCTCCGTGTAACAATCTCCGTGCACAATCAAGGTAAAAATGTTGAAGGGCTTATAACTCGGCAAAGAAGGCTTCGCTACCCCTGATTTTGGTATCAAATGAAAGGATTTTGTTTATATAACACGTTTATGTGATAAAATTAATTTCGCCTAGGTAAAGATTTTTTGTGATTATGAGCCAATAGCTCAAAATGATAATTCCCGCAGATAGCCTGGTTTCTCATATCGGGTCACATATATCAAGAGTTACTGGTCTTTCTTGGTATAATGGTCACTTATTTGTATCTAGCTCTGCTGATGGCCCAGTGCGTTTTTACAAAACTGATCCACATAGCCACCTTACACTTAACATGGTGTTTAGCACCTGTGGTGTTCATATCAGTCCTTTCTCACCTCATCTAGTTACTTTTGCAACAACTCAGGGCCATTTTAAGGGTACGACATTAGAAATACCACTACTCCGTATATTGAAGCAAAAGGCCATGTAAAGACTGTCAGTAATGTAATATATGTTTGAAAGTTTGAAATACTTACAATTGGAACCGACAAAGCTAAACTTTGGGATTTACATCGAACAGTATGTATACGCTCATACAACAACAATTCTCATCAGATATGTTTGGTTGGTATTCATACTTTGAATGACTTAATTGCCCTTGGTGGTGAGGACAGTTGTGTTCATGTCTATAATAAATATGATTCAAAAAGCATTGTTTGAAAAAGCCTTTATTCATCATCATCCTATGTTTGTGGGTGTACCTTAATATTAATTGAAGATTCTGCACAGTTAATAGCAGTAGGAAATTCAGGGCATTTGTTCATCTAATAAAATATTTTTCAAAAATTTTAGATATAATTTTATACACGATGTGATACAATTAAAGAGGAGAATGTGCATGCATGGTACGAACAAAAAAAGCCTGGAATGACCATACATGCATTATACATAATTGGTACATTTATTTTGTTAATTCAGTACTTCTTGTTGTATTAATCATATCGACAATGATTAACAAAGAACTAACAACAACAAAGGACAACAGAATGACAAAAAGAGAGAACAAGGGAAAGTGCCTTATTATAGTACAGAGAACAGTCTAGAAACATACAGAGTGATTACAAAAATGAATTGCGTAGAAGTGTACAGAAAGTCCATATAAATGTTCTAGAATGTACCAAATACATGTACAATAATTAATAATACAATAATAATCAATAATGTTAATTTACTGTTACATCACTCCCACTTAAATTAACTTTGTTGTTGGTAGATTACAAAGTCCTAGATTGAATCAATGGGCTTCAAACTGACCTTGAGGTAAGGGCTTAGTAAAAATGTCTGCAGTCATAAGATCAGTGGGACAATAAACTAGTTCAATGATTCCATCTTGCAATACCTCCTGAATATAGTGAAACTTCATATCTATATGTTTCGTTGTCATATGAGATGTTGGATTCTTGGCAGTAGCTATAGTACCTTGGTTGTCCTCATTAATAACGATTGGTGCTTTGGCTTCAGAGAGATGTTTGATAACAGCCTTCCTAGCCACACAGCTTCTTGTGTTGCAGAAGCAAGTGCAACATATTCTGCTTCAGTGGCAGAAATGGCAATTAAGGATTGCTTCCAACTGAGCCAACTGACTGCTCCTCCAGACATGACAAAGAGATTCCCTGTTCTTGAGCATCTACTGTCCATATCACCAGCCCAGTCTGCATCAGAGAATCCTATCATAACTTCGTTACTCCCAGATCTTTCATACTTTAATTCTAGATCCATCGTTCTCTTTACGTAATGTTGAATTTGCTTCACTGCTATCATATGATGAGTTTCCGTGGGACATGAGTTGAATTTTGATACTGCTCACACTGCTTGTGAGATGTCTGGTCTGGTTGAAGTTGCTGCTTACAGAAGACTACCCACCATAAATTGGTAATTCACTGGAGCGACACGAGCACTGCCCCATCATCCTTGATTAACTTAACATTAACATTTGCTGGAGTTGTTAAAGGTTTTGCTTGTCTCATTCCATACCTCTCTAGTAACGATTGAATGTATTGCCTCTGATGTATCCATATACTATCCTTGTCTTGGTACATGATTTCTGAGATATACTGCAGTAGATACTGCCTCCGCCCAGTAACACTCAGGTAAAAATGCTTGTGCCATCATTGCACATGTCGATTCCATTAGAGTACGATTAATCCTCTCAGCAACTCCATTTTGGGCAGAGGAATATGGGGCTGACAATTCATGGCGAATCCCTTTTGACCATAAGTTCGAAATTCTTCAGACAGATACTATCTACCATTGTCAGATCTAAGACAGCCTATAGAGAAGTTGCACTCATTAGCGACACACAATTCAAACCCTTTAAACTTTTCAAATCCTTCTGACATTTTTCAGAAAATATACTTTACAAAAGCGAGTGTAGTTATCAATGAAGGTAAGGAATTACTTGTGTCCCCCCCAATTGACTCAGTTGGCATAGGTCCACACACATCACTATGCACTCATTCAATCCTTTACAAGATCGAATCTCTCCCACTGACTCAAATGGTTTTCTTGACACCTTTCCCTCTACACACTTCGCACAAAATGACATACCTGAGAATTTAGTTATAGCCATACCCTTCACAAGTTCTCGACTAATGATCTCTCTCGACTAATGATCTCTCTCATCTGTTGCTCATTCAATTCTCCAAGTCATTGATGCCATAAATTAATCTTGCTTCCAACTTTTGACTCAACAGACAAAGCAGCAACATGTTCTTGAGTAACAGTCTTACAATGAAAATGAAACAGCTTGTCTCTAATTTGTGCTATCCCTACAAGTCCACCAATCTTGTTACGAATCCAGCATCTTGTGTCTCCAAACTTCACCGTGTTGCCTTTGCTTATGACTGCTCGTACTGAAAGCAGATTGCATGCCAGTTTTGGTACATATAATGCATTGCACCCTTTCACCTTCTTAGGATCACTTGATCTGAAGATCATCATGAGATAAATATCTCCCTTTCCAATTTCCTCTACAGTGCAACCATCTCCAAGAGACACTGTCTGTGGCTTACTAAACTCCTCATAGTTTATTAGTACCTTCCTTGATCTGGTCATGTGGCTTGATGCCCCGGAATCAACTATCAAATCCTCATCTAAATCACATGACTGAGTTGTTGCAAAAGCATCTTAATGCTCACTATCTGGCTGTGATTCATTGTTACAAAATTCCTCATCAAAAGAGTCTTCATTACATTCTTCCTCAGCATTTGCATATGTATGCTTAACTTTGTGCTTTGGTTTGGCACTGGAGATTTGAGGATGGGCATTATGCGTTTGACGGTTCTTGGGACAATCCGTTCGAAAATGTCCAGGTTCTCCACATAAGTAGCATACTTTTTTCCGTGGATTCCCTCCGCGTCTTTGATGATTTCTTCCAGTCAGTGCTCGTCCTGCATCTTGCTCCCAAGCTCCACTTGGTTTGCTCTCTTGTTCATGAATAAGTGCCTAATCAACATAACTCAATGTGATATTGTCTTTGGCTTCCAAGACAGTGACCAGGTTTGAAAACCTGGAAGTAGGGTAATCAGAAGTGTTAATTCCTGTTATTCATCAGCTATGGGTGCATTAATGGCTGCTAGTTGATCTGTCAATTCCTTCATACTCTTAATGTGTGCTTCAACTAAAGTTCCTTCCTTCAAC